TAATAGATTCGATTTAAGACCATTTTCAATTCTTATATTCGAAATGCACAATAATGTTGCATGTCAGGCAACAAACCACATTATCTTACAGACCTTATAGATCATATGCCCTATTACCTTAATAGTGGATACGGGTGTTTTGATCATTTCCTCGAAGGTTGATCATTTTATACAAATCTTTATCATTTACGTAATTTATTATATTCACGTCAACATTGAATTTGTATTCGAACGGACCATATAGGAGACACATATTTACATTCCTGGGAAATGTTGGGCAAAATATTGGAATCTGAAGAAGCTGAAGATATGCTACTTGTTATTGGGATGTAAGCCAATCTTGTCTTAACACAAAATTTCTTTATCAATATTATACAAATACTTCCGCAAATCTTATAATTTTTCTCTATAGGCCAGTGTCTCATAAAAATGTTAGATACAATTGTAGTGTTATAATCCATAATAGTAAAATATTATTGATTCGCCCAAAAATGTTTTTGGCTAACGATGGTAATTATCGTGAAATGAGATATTTCACTGCCTGGTCGCCAGCTCGTTACGTTGAGGATTATTATCTTCCAAGAATTATTAAGAATATTACAGGACAAGTAAGTTCTTTACTAGATATGCTATTTCTTTTACATGTTTTTTTTTTTTTTTTTTTTTTTGTAATCGATATATCAAAAGACTGTAGTTCCTATTGGTGATGCGGTAATCTCTACTATTGACACTTGTATTGGAGTGGAATTATGTGAAGAGCTTTTTACACCTAATAGGTACATGTTGTTTTTTGGACATTAATTGTATAGTAGTTAAATCTAATTACCTGCATATAATAGTCCTCATATTAGTATGGGCTTGGATGGTGTAGAAATTTTCACTAATAGTAGTGGTAGTCATCATGAATTACGTAAACTTCACAGACGCATTGATGTAATTAAAGAAGCAATGATGAAGGTATATCAACGGACTTTACCTGAAAGTCATTGATTAATGATAATAATCTAACAGGTTTACATTTCTTATAAGAGTGGAGGAGTTTACCTCTATTCTAATCAGCAAGGTTGTGATGGCGATCGATTATATTATGACGGTTGTGCATTAATTGCAATCAATGGTCAAATAATTGCCCAAGGATCACAATTTTCCCTTAATAATGTGGTTTGTTGCCTGACATGCAACATTATTGTGCATTTCGAATATAAGAATTGAAAATGAACTTATATCTAATCTAATAATTAATAAATTATATTTTTAAGGAAGTTATCACTGCAACCATCGATATAGATGATGTTCGTTCACACCGTAGAATGAGTAGTAGGGCAATGCAGGCCGTTAATGCGAGCCCATACCGACGCATTGAGGCGCCTATTGCTTTGTCTTCTGAAGAAAAAAATTTTAACTCACACTTTTCTCCTACAAAACCTATCAATGAGCATTATAATACGCCGGAACAAGAGATTGCGTAAGGTCAATTTGATAATTAATCAATGCTAAGATTAGTATTAAAGTTCGAACAATTGTTTAGTTTTGGACCAGCTTGTTGGCTTTGGGATTATCTCCGTCGATCAAAGACTAGCGGTTATTTTTTGCCTCTTAGTGGAGGGGTGGATAGTTGCGCTACAGCAGTTATTGTACATTCTATGTGCCGCCTTGTTGCTGAAGCTGCATCGAATGGAGGTAATTTGATGGTAAATTTCTTCTAATAACTTTACGACAGTTAAGTTTATTCTTCTAAATGATCATTAGATACTCAAGTAATTATGGATGCGAGGAAGATTGTTGGCGAAAAAGAAGATTCAGACTACATTCCCACAGATCCTAAAGAATTCGCAAAGTAATAAGTTAATGGCATTTTATGAATATTGTATGGAACAGTAATTTAAATGATTTATATTTTCTAGCCGCATTTTGCACACATGTTATATGGGTACAGTCAATTCAAGTAAGGAAACTCGTGAACGGGCAAAAAAACTTGCTGATGCTATAGGCTGGTTAGTCAAGATTCCTACCTGTTCAAATTAGGATTAAATTAAGATGACACTAATATGATAGTTCTGGATTACTTACAGTTATCATATTGATATGAACATGGATAGCATTGTTTCATCCGTATGTACTGTATTTAATTTGATTACAAATAAGACACCACGATTTCGAATTGATGGTGGTACGGATATTGAGAATTTGGCACTTCAAAATGTACAGGTATGATTAGAATATGATTTAATGCGTTGTATGTTCAATCATAACGTGAAGTTAGTCATAAATTTATCTTTTAAGGCTCGATTAAGAATGGTTCTTTCATATTTTTTTGCACAACTTTTACCTTGGGTGAGGAATAAGTGTGGATCATTACTTGTTCTTGGTTCTTCGAATGTAGATGAATGGTAATTATAGGTATCTATAAATTATCTCCGTTATAAAGACACTCACTTTTGTCATTTTTAAGCTTGAATCTTGTTTATAAAAGTGCTATATCGACTTATTAGCCGTTTCCAAAGGTGTCATTATTAACGGAAGTGTCATGTGTTATACTCTCTATATACTAATGATTACATAAAATTTTTAAAAGTCTTCGAGGCTATCTAACAAAATACGACTGTTCAAGCGCGGATATAAACCCAATTGGCGCTATAAGCAAAAATGATTTGCGTAAATTTATCGATTACGCAAAAAATGAATTCGGAATTTCGATACTTGATGAGTAAATATTTTATTTGTATCATCATTATCATTATTAGAAAACTGCGTACTACATGAATCCATCTTTATAGGTTTCTTAAAGCAATACCGACGGCAGAGCTTGAACCAATCACTCATGAATATATTCAATCTGATGAGGTATGATAAATATAATGTAATGTTTATAATTGCATAGCAGAATCTTGAATGAATAGTTGAATTTTTAAGGTTGATATGGGTATGACATATGATGAATTGTCTATCTTTGGCAAATTACGCAAGAACGAACTTTGTGGACCATTTTCAATGTTTTCGAAACTCGTTCATGAATGGGGAACAGAACTGAGGCCTAAAGAGGTATTTAGATTTCAAAATAATGACTAACTTGATCTTGTTGACTAATCGCACATTATTTATTTTTTTTTAAAAAAAAAACAAGATCGCATCAAAAGTCAAACGTTTCTTCTACTATTATTCTATTAATCGGCATAAAATGACTACACTTACACCTTCATATCACGCTGAAGCGTATAGTCCTGATGATAATAGATTCGATTTAAGACCATTTTCAATTCTTATATTCGAAATGCACAATAATGTTGCATGTCAGGCAACAAACC